GACATCAGACCAGGTACTCCTAATGTGAGTCAGCTACAGCGAGTGATATGCTAATGAAAAGAAAAAGACATGTTAGTTTACAGTAATTAAAATACATCATATCTTATTGCTAATGAACTGTTAAAGAAACTTACCTACAGGAGATGAAAAAACAGAAGGTTATATATTTAAAATCGAAGATCACTAATTAAAGTACCAGTACGTTTTCGTTATATGTATTCCTTAATCACGTTATTCAGCAACATGATAACGGAATACAATAAATTCCTTGCAAAACATCAGACCATTTAAATAAAAAAAATATTTTTTTATTAAATATTAAGAAAAGAAAATATTCTCTACTGAACATTGGCAAATACAGTTTTGAAAGCGCTTACTTTAATAGCTAAAAAAGGGAAGAAGAAAAAAATACAAATTTTAATTGTATTCGTTTTTTTATATGTATCTGAATACTTTATCCAGTTTTTAGTGCATTTTTTGAAAGTGTCCTGATACGCTTAGATGGGTTTAGAAATGAGAAAATATAAGATACATGTATTAGAACATTGGTGATAAGCTAAGGGTGGTCCGGAAGACCCCGAAACCCGCTGGACATTAATACTGATTGGTAAAGGAAGTGGACTGTACTATATTAAAAAAAACCTAATAAACAAAGAAATACTTTGCATCAAAATAACGTTCGACAAAGGACAATAATAAACATCCGGATATGTGTATGCAAATAAGTTCTTTATCGAGTCAAAATCTTAGAGATACTATTTATGTTTACAGCCGTGAATTGAATCGTTATGCAGGTGCGCTATCACACCTGTGCGAGGTTCGAATGATAGGGAGGAGGACATTGACTGGGACCGAGTGTTGTCGAAGGTGGTGGAGAAGGTGTAGACATGCCCGGAGCGCAGGGAAGTTTACTAGATGACAGGTAGATAGCAGATCATCCTGAGAACACCTCCGTGTCTCCAAACCTTCTCTGTGTTATATCAAACACACAACAATATAAGCCCAATACCGAAGCACACTCGCCGACAACAACAGAGAAAACTTGTCATATAGATAATGTTAGTGATAGTCTTCTGTTCAAATAAATCCACACATTATGGTATGAATATGTAAGAATGCCGATAGGTTAACATGTACGAGGCTATCGACCACATACAACTTAAACATCGTAAAAACATAACCATATACTCAGCATCAAACGAGGGAGAACAGCAAGTTAACTATTGATGGTAAAAGTTTCCCGTGGATAAACTTCAAGTTCTTTTCACGAGTGGAAAAGAATATCAATTTTTCTATCGGTGCAAAGTATAAATAGAAATATTCTGCTTTAACAATAAAATAAAAAGCATACTCAGTTGGAAGTAATACAATGTTTAAACAATTATAGTTTAATCCTGTGTACCCTTTCACTTAGCTGCGTGTTTGAAAGGTTGCTTGGAAAAACACAAGACTATCCATTCAACATCGATGCAGCCGAAAGTACTTGAGTTAATTTTTCGCGTGATAGATCATATTCGCAATTTCACTTGATGGCAATTATGGTTGACGCCAGTTTATGGTATCTTGTTGACAATGCCAATAACATATAGGCTGAGGAGGACGAGTTTACCTCACAGGTCAGGGTCATTTTACTTACACAAAAGCAATGCAATATTTTGCAGTATCTCAACTTACAATTGTTCTTTAACATGTTTCATGTTTTGTGTTTCCTACGATTGAGCAAAGCATTCTATTTCAATCAAATACGAACAACATTATAATAATATATTTCCGAAATTGACAACTGAAAATATATCACACATGATGAAAATGTAACAATACAAAGGAACCAAAACAACCCGAACTACCATATGATCATCACAGCAGTGCAAACTAATATACTGTTACTATAGTTTCAACCGTTAGAAAAAAGTGGGAAACGCTTACCTACAGAAAAAAGAAAATAAGCTAGAAAAATAATCATAAAAAGAACACGGGTGCAATCCGTTTTAAGTAAAAAGTAGTTTATCTTTGTCAATTGTAAATTCCACATACACATATTGCATGCAAATATTTATTTCTTCAATTATTTCCATTTTTAACAATATTACAGAAATTGATTCAAACAAACATGATTTCTCTACATAATCCGAACAAATATTGTTGATATTAGATACGCTCGTCAATAATGTAAAGTTGTATCATTAGAATTTGGTATGACAATTACTGTTTGAAATGTCGTTTTATGATCACACGATCACGTATTGCCGATGTATGCTCAAATTTCCGTCTTACATTTTTTAACAATGCCATTAAACTTTTGTCATTCTAAACGCCAATAGTTTGCTGGACAACAGGTGGCAGCAGAACAAAGTTTACTGTGTAAATGTATACCAAATATGAACAACATTAGATGTGTGTACCTTCCTTGTCAGTATAGTAGTAGACGTTATCATAATGATTCGACAATGCTGTAATATACATGTAATACTTCCGAAACTACTATATTATATATGCCTTTTTGTTCAAGCTGACACTAATTTTCGTTTGGAAACATTAAATAAATGCACCTCATACAATAAATTGTTGACCATATTACAACGTTAGATTCGTATTACAAAACCACGGCCACCATTACACTGTTTTTTCATCAACATTTTGGCGTTATAATAGAGGTTTAAGTGATATAAAGCTGCAACATATGTATCGATATTGTAAAGAAAAAAGGACATTTCAAAATGTTTTCCATAAGTGAAATAAGGGGCATTTTATTAAGGGTTAACGGTTTATATGAATAACACATCTTGAAAATGAAACTGTGTTTATAATTATTAAAAAAAGGTATGTAGGTCATCTTTTTATGAACCTATCACTGTATTAATTCATAACATGAATTTATGTATGTTTGTATCGCACAATGACAATTACACGTGAATCTTGATTATTGATACAGAAAACTAGTCTGGACCATACAGAAACTACAGGAAACCGACAGGCTATAATGTATTGTTGATACGAGATATTCCGACAAAACGTTAGCCTCTGGTCATTCAGATGTTTGATTGGAATGGACAGATAACAGGTAATATAACGGCTATATAAACGCCTCCCGGCGTGACGTTCACAAACAATAAAATCTCATCACATCCACAAGTATCAAAAGAGGTGTTTCGGTATTTATCTTTATACCATTAGCAGAATTCAAATTATATTAAACAATCATATTACATATAGACAATTATCATGAATATCAAATTAACTTGCTGTTATTAACATTGAAAACAGGTTAACAATATAATATTAACACAAGTACATTAGTAGTATATATTTTGTTCATAAAATACACTCTGCAATATCTGTAAAAACTAAGTTTTGAGTTTATGTTAATTCTTCATATCAATAATTGGAATAAATATTACCTTTCTTTTCTTTAATACACTTTCTAGATTTTGATATCAACCAAAATGTCTGCCTCTTTTTCTTCAACTTTGCAGATAACGTCAAAGTACTCATAAAACCACACATTAGAGCCTCCTCCAACCCATTAATCTCGCTAGGTTTTTGATCATGCAAATTGCAATTTACATTTCTCACTTGAAGGCGTTTAATTAGCACATCATCCTCTACCAAATGGGTGAGCTCAGGGCATTCTGTGTAATACGTACCCTAATATTATATGCGGGGTACCTGGCTTTATCATCTATATTTAAATGATATAAGGTTAGACACACAATTGGCAGGGTAATTGGAAACAGGTTTCGTTCGGGTCCACCTTCCAACAGGAGAAATATAACCATGATAGGTTTGATACCATGGTACCTGCCCCTCTTCTCGGTCTTCCAGTATTCCTGGGCATATCAAAGGAAACTTGACAGACCCCCGTAGAACATTACTAACATATAATTCTATGTCATAAACTATCAGTTTGGGAAGTGCTTCTCCAGCATCTTTTGCTTCTATATGCCCTCACATCACTGTAATGACTACATAGCATGGACCAAGGCACCTCCAGGAGATGAGGCATTATTACAGGAATCATTCTGTGTCTTTTCATCCTTAACGAGGCTATCACAAGCCGGTTCTAGACGTGAAGGGGTTATATCATTAAGGCTTGATGTTAATACAACTCATTTTCACAACATCCTTGTGCTAAACTCACTATTTCCTTCTCCGTGGATTTGTTAGATTTAATTTTATCATCATCAAAGGCAGAACAAGTGCATAGTGTAGTCTTCAACATGTATCATGATTGCATTAGGGAAAGCACAGGGGAAACCCACGTGCAATACTTCATGTGGATGATTTCAATGGACATTCCTTACTTATACAACTTAAAACAAGGCAGGTGATTGGTAAAAGATATGATGATAGATGGAAAAACTCCTGTGTTTCTTTAACACTCGAATAAAGCGAGCACAAGATGTATTTTATTTGATAAAATCCGAATTAGATATTAACCAGCAACAATTGTATTGATGTCTTACCAATTATATGTTAAATACATATTTTGTGGTTATTGAGTAAATATTCAGAATGTTAAAAAGGTTAAAGCAATACTGCAGCAACGGCAATCTATATTTTTAATCATTTAAATAATAAGGAGAGCCTATATTATGTAAATTCAATGACATGATGTTTTTTCCTGAGAACCACTTGAAAAAAGTAGTTAGGCACTCATTACCGAGCTGTCATCGGGTCAGGGACATTATTTCTGTCTGTACGAGCCAGACATATCAGACGTTGGGTGGTACTCTATCAGAGGCAGTTTACCTTCTCAGAACATATGTAACTATGCATACTAGATGACACACATGTTGACTTATATATTAAGGTAAAATACATGTATATCTGCAGGTAAAACACGTGCACACGAAGGTAAATACAGATTAAACAAAAGCATACTTACATGTTTATACCATATTTACTCAAATAAAAGGCAAATATAGATACATGTTAACACAAGTATATTTTACAGGTTAAACAAAGAAAAAAAATTACAAGTCCTATTTAGGTATACTTACTCCGTTTGAGTCGGACCTCCGCTGTGACAATCCTGACAGAGAATTTACATACCATCAGATGAAAAGTTACTAGAATCCACAAATTCATGGTACATTATTTTTGACGTGGTAAAAACGCTACATAGATGAAGATAAAGTCATCATAATCATATCCTTGGAATAGTTACAACTTCTCCAATACTGAAATCCACGGAATGACATAATCAAATCTAATTCAGCAAATAATTCCTTGAAATAAATCCTTTGCTCTAACCCATTGCGATGATTTATGGATTCCATTTTCGGAATCAGATACGTATACTAAACATTTTACTAGTAACACAGTTGATGTAAGCAGTGCGAGTCGACAAGTTAGTTTGGACAGCGGTCGACTCCTGACTTTTTTGTGTTTGGTAGCATGCCAGTTACTGTCTCCTCCCCCTAACACACCGCGTGACTCTCTACACGGCCAGACACACTACAGTAACACACACTCAGCCGACGGGAGGGGGGCTATATCCCGCCGCACCGATCATCGCAATAGTCTCAGTCTTGTTAACACACTGGGGGAAGCCCATTCACGATCCGAACCGTCAATCACTCTCTTCAGCATGACATCGTAACTCGTTCGTCAAATTTCTAAGAATGTGTATTTCTGGATTGTTCTGATGCAAATTATTATGTCCTAGTAATTTTACATTGGTTATACTTACAGTTTCGTTGAAGAGTTTCTATTGGTTCACAGCTTCCCTTCGAATCGTTACTGTTGAAATATTCGTGTAATATTATATCAAATTATCAATATATCTTGTAGATGTCGTTTGTAAATATGTGGAATGTAATACCGATATGCATATAACACTTGTCGTGGAATGTCAATCGGAGCAGTTTCGGTGCTGTATGTAATGAACGACCTATACCGGAGTCAAAGACATCTGTTGAATGATCAATTAGTAACGATACACGTGATATAAGCATGTCTACTTTTGGTAAACTTGTTAATGGTGGTTAAAAACCCGGTAACCTTGGAAAACATTAGCGGGAACCTCGGTACGTTTATCAGGAAAATTACAGTGATCACACGTGCGGTAATTCTATCGCGATACACGACAGGTCTCCGCAAACGCGCACATAGATGTCAGTGCTGATATGAGACCTACTCTTCCGCGCTTTCTATCAAAACCAGATAATTAATGTTTTGATAGGTGGATGATTATATATATGTGTGCATAAATATGATATTGATAGTATTTCATTCTAACTACAGTTTATATTTCAATTAATATTGATATTTTACTGACAACATATACAATACAAGTATTAAGTCCGTTAATATACCCTTGATGGTGCGATAGTGGTTTAGTATACACCACACTTCAGATTTCAATTAATTGGGACAACATGCTTCAAGATATTGATAATTAACCGACGAAATTGGTTTAAAAGGCCGCTCTCTAGCCAAGCTTATCAGGTGTATTCCGTGCCAGGCCCGGTGTCTAGCTCATCACACTCCGCGGGGCAAATTAGACTACAGCAATTCCTTCCAGTCCAAGGTCAATTCCATTTTTGAGATCAATTGAAAATATCAGTTTCTCCTCCCCTCGCCGAGAGATAGAGATAAAATTGAAACACCATACATATTATGACGAGATGTACGGCAGAGGTGAGAGGGGGCGTGGTAGGTAAAACAGCGTCAAACACCCGACCTCCATTCATGCTTTCTGTATGGACACGCTTGTTATCTCTCGACTTTTAATGTTAAATTCAAGAATCTTTTTAATAGGATTGATGTGATTTTTAAGAAGGATTTTGGGAGGAGGATTAATGAAGAGCTTTGACAGTATATTCTATCTAGAATTATATCATCATAAGATGAAATAACAAGGCTTTGTTCATTGAAATCGCTCTGGTGAACTTTATCGTGCGCACTCTGGCACATTCATGATATAAATAGCTTAGAGGATGAACGAGAATGGCGGGGGTAATTAGTTGGGTGCTTATGAAGTCTTGTCAGAGCTATATTCAGTACAGAATACATTGCACAATACATATACGGTGTTGAGCGGTTCCTGTCAGTTATATAACACTGTGAGTACCTGAACAAAGAACAGGTTAATCTATGTGCGTTCAATCACGGATATCGGGTTGTGTAATGAGTATTGTACACAGGGCAATATGAAAAGTGAAGGTACTCTGCAATTAAATGATCATTCAAATAAAATGAGAGAAATGTTGAACACGATCCCCTTACCTCTGATTGAAGTTAGTCATTATCTTCAAAATGTCCCACAGCCTACATGTTTGTGAGACATATAATTATTGGCGTTGTGAATACCAACATAGTGCTCTCGAGAAGCTTAATTAATACTTTTCTAAGTTTATATATGGAAGTAAATGGAGGAATGTTTTGTCAATGCGAAGTTGAACATGTATGATTTACCCCACGGCTTGATTTATTTTTGTGTAATATTTTATTTGAATCCACAGAAAACAAACATTTCATATATTGCATATTTCCTGTATGTTTGTTTTGTTATAGGTCTTCTGGGAATATACACTTTATCGTATACCGGGGAATGTGTATCCTGAGTAATGAGGGCAATTTGATCATGAGAGTGAATAAAAGTATGACACAAACTGTAAACTTTGATTACATGAGAAGGGCGAAATGAACAATTGGCGAATACAGATTGTGCCACAAAGGGTGATATTTTATTGGTTGGAAATTTTCAGATTAAGATACGAGATATATATCAATTTTGGGCTTTTTTATGTGAATAAGTGGTTATATGGACCTGAAAAGGACATATAACCACATATTCACCGAAATATAAGTCCTTCGGTGCTATATAAGATATGAAATTATGCTGTTTTTATTATGTGACAATATAACACGTTATGAATCGTTCAAAGAAAATACTGCATTTGGCATAGAGCATTGTGAAAAATAGTAACACGGGTTAATATCACAAATCACTGACTTCCACGTGATTATAATCCAATTAATGAGGTTGAAGGTATGAGTTGCGTCATCTAATATTATGATATATGTCATCATTGACAAAAAATATAGTGCAGTGTATATATGTGCATCTTCAAGAAGATAGTGTACGTCCTCTATGAAACAATAAACGTCATATCTTAGACAAAACTAAAATAATGTACGTAATAACGGTTATTAGATATATTTATTGAGCCTGCGATCGCCACATTGATAAAAAAAACACATTTATGCGAAGTTGCAATATTCCAAAATAATTGTCGGGTTTGTTCTACAGCTCTCTCACCGAAACAGACGCGAAAAAAAAATCATTGGCTAGGAGAGGCTCTTTCCGATTGTATGTCTCATCAGTCCCCGAAACGAACAAGGAATGTCTAGATGGCTAATCACCTGTGATAATCGACATGAGAGAGGATTCTTTGCACATTTTCCAATAATTACCTACAGCGAAGGGTGGACTATGAATGAGATTCAAAATTAGCAGGGACACGACAATGGGTGAGCTGATGAACGACGAGGGTCAAAATACACACTTCCGACTTAATGAAATTAGCCATACACCATGCGAGTCGTAATGGAGTAGAGGCCAATACTACGGTGGGGGACAAAGACATGACTACGTACCATGTAAGAGGATGTTAATTACCTCCAAATGAGCGATCAGCAGGAACACAACTAACGGTAGTGTGTATTAATGTCTTACCGCTGTAACGACCTGCTAACCATCGTACAAACCAGCGATCAAACACGCTGCCAATAACTTAAATTATCAATAATCTCTATCACAGCTCCCTCTCATCTTTCTTATCACTACATTAGACGTGACGTTAACATCTTGTTTTTTTCCTCAGTCTGAATTCGATCACTTTTCTTTAAAAGATAAATATATAAAAGCTATGCGATAAATCCCGTCTGAGAGACAAATATTGTGAAGTAAAATAAAGAGAAAAATAATACAGTAATAACACATAAAGAACAAAATCATATCGGAACTCCATGTGGCGAGATAAACAAGGCGACACCAAAACGAAGAACATCTTGGACCACCAAGATAAATCCCAGTGTTGAATTATTTACTGCGGTTGGGTAAGAGTTTCAGTGGCAACATGTGGCGATATCTTCATTAATATGATTCAAACAACTGTTTGACAGGAATTTAATTCGACAAATGAACACAAACATGAGTTTAAATGGAACGTGTATAAATTTACGTAAATTATTTTCTTTTTTAATATTCCGATACACAGGCGGTATATTGCTGAACCAAAATATGTTTTGTTCGAAAACATTTTATTGCATGGTCACGTGACTGATATGCACGCATACGGGGATCATCACATTTTATTGCATGGTCACGTGACTGATATGCACGCATACGGTGATCATCACATTTTATTTTCAAAAAGTTGGTTAATGTAAAGCATTCCTTTGTCATTGACAGCGTTGTTGTCTTCCCCCTCGTTCAATATAATACATGATCAACAAACAGTAACTGAATCAAAGATTTTTCACTATATCATGGTTAGGCATTAAAAAACTGTGTTGTGTATATGATAAATATCTGTCATCATTTATCACAAAAACAGGAACTTTTGCCAGTATTCCAGCAGCCCTCTATCCATCACGTCCCGTTTACAAGATCAGTGTGTGTAAACGTTTTCAGGTAATTGAGTTACCACTTGATATTTATCTAATTTCTCCATATTAACGTCTGTGAAGCCCGGTGTTTTTACATCCTTGCTATGTTAAGCCGACATCTGGAACCAATAGGTGAAGACAGAATATGGGGGACCATGCAAATGAAATACAAGCACATGTATCCTAACGCATGTTTGATTACAAATTTTGAAAAAAAATTGTCTCGCGTTTGTTTGGCTCTTTTTAATGAATATTCATATAATTTGATTTGGTGTATACTTAGTTCATGTTGTTGACTTTTGGGTCGGTTATTGTTTCCGAAATTCGACCCTGGAAAATGACTGACGCGTTATGGTGATATGTTTTCTACTCTTACTGTGAAAAACTTCACACACTCCGATCTGCTAATAATGCAATTATAAATAACGAACTTGTATACCATAGGAAAAAGAAGATTCCAGCAAAACAACCAATGATAAAATTGGAAAGGGACAGTCTACAATTGACAATGTTTTATGAATACATCAAAAAACAGATTTTCGAGGGGAAAGCAATCATAAACGCGATAATTTGTTTCATCAAGGGTAAAGCCTCTGTGTACGTGACTGCAGTGTGCCTTTGAGTTGTGTTACATAAGGGGTAGCTCCGCCACATAGAACGAAGGGCGGTAGGTGGTAGGGTATGGCAGTAACAGCGAGACAGGTGAAGCAGAAAGGACAGCTCAGCGGGATCCCTAGACACATAGCTTTGAACGTCTTAATTATCTCAAGGAGGAAAGAATCGATAGCCTGGGGGAAACGGTTCTACACAGTTTCCCAATTTTGATGTTGTAATGTTGATTAATAGTGCAGAACCGATGAGAAGGAAGTATGTCCAACCCAAGCAAGCTCCGTACCAACAGTGCACTCAACCTTGCAGTGAACAGTGTAAAATTGGTGAAATATTTCACATGGGGTTTTGTCTTTCTAGTCATTGATATGAATACCTTCCTGGTATCTTGTACCAAGCCACAAGAATTTGTACAATCTCCTATCTTGTTTCTAATACCTCCCATAACTCTGATTTACTGTGTAACGCCTGTATTTTGCGTGTGTTTAATTTTGGCTATATCCTTCGCCAATAACACATTTGAAATAAATATAATACTTATTGATTGCCCTCCCTGGATAGGAGAATTATTTGAGATTAGGAACTTTCTGTGTTGGGCGCAAAATGTATTCCCTGCGAAGATATTCTAAGAATAAAACCTTAATAATCGACCTCTTGAAGTATTATCGC